AAGTTGGCTGTGTTATATTGATGCAAGCTCACAGAGAGAAGACCACGATTGATTGCATGGAAGACTGAGAGTAAGATTAGAATTGTTAAATTATTTTTGGATTATAAGCGGTTTGCTTTAAACCAATTAATAATTCTAGATAAGATAGAGGGAAAGACTGAGGAGAAGACCAAGAGAAAGACCAAGAACTTTTAATTCTTTGCGGCACTGAAATGAACCGGAAAGAGATCCACTCGAGCTCACAAATATCACGTTGCACTACCTACCACCTAACACAACTGCGCACATCCAACCAATGGATGTTAGTATAATCAAGTCGTTCAAATTGAAATATAAACATCTTTATTGCAAGCATCTTAGGCAGTTCGAGGCAAATGTCAACTTAGAAAAGTATATCAAGTTTCTTATGCTTATACCATTCAATAATTTTTGTCTTATTTTACAGAAACAAGCTAAATGTAAAGGAGGCAATCGATTTTATCGCAGAGACATGGGATTATGTGAACAATATGACAATCAAAAATTGTTGGCAAAAAACAGGAATTCTTCTGAGCGTACATGATTCTGAAGTAGCAATTGCAAGTCAATATCTTGAAAGCAATATTAAAATTAATAATAATGAGATTGTAATGATCATTGCTCGAATGATAATCTGAATGTTATTGAGCTCACCTTGGCTATGGATAGATACATTCAAATAATTAACGAACTAGTTATTACAGAAGATATACTTAATGATGAAGGAATCATTGCTATAGTTCAGGGTGAGGATAATGAACAGAAAATGAGACACCATCACCTCCACTCGTAATGATCACAGAAGTGCATAAATGCAATGAAAATGGTTCTTCGCTTTGAAGAACAGGATAATTCAAAATATCATTCAATAGCTTTTTATCATTTTTTTTGCACCAAATGTTTGATCAATCCAGGAAAACAAAATTGAAACTGTTGACATGTTCTAGGGATTTGGGCAAGATTACGAGATTAATGCGGAACTACATTAATTCTCAGTGAGAGACGGGCTTGTGTAATGAGTTCCTTTTAGTGTAATGATTTATTCAAATGTGACTTTGATTTAAATGTATGACCATAAAGAATTCAATACAAAATATAATATGCTTCTAAACTTTCTTCCTCTATTACTGCTTATATATATATATTTTTAGTTAAACTTTTACGTATTTTGGCGGCACCAATTTAATATGATGGCAATCAATTATGTACTGCCATTGATCATTGTGTCATCGCTGTTTACATTCTGTCGCTATTACTATATCATGGAACTGGATCGTACACGTGATCACAGATATCGTAATAAGAATTATTTGATAACTACATGTACATGTATGAAGAAAATTATAGTCACTCAATTTTCTTCTCCCAACCCTGTGACCATATAGAGGTGCGACTGTAAATTCAAATAAAATGAATTCGGGATTCCTGATATCTGTGTACGTAGCGGTAGCTGTTCTGATCGTAGATTTTGCTCAAACAGTAAAATATCGAGTTCCTTCAAGTATTATCGTTATCTGAGATCATTACTATGATGAAAAAAGGAAAAATATCGCTCGATGCTAGGTAATAGGAACCGCACGTTTGAAGTAATTAGCTGATGCAATTTTAAAAGAAGGGAGTAAGGAGTGATGTGTAAAGCGAAATGATGTCAAGTTTCGTTTATGGCTATCGGATTCCATTATTAGTGCGATTCAATAAAAATTGTTTAATCAAAGTATTCCTGCTTTCGTGCCAAAAAACGAAATGTCTTTATATACATTCTATACTTTGATCCCTCTATAATAAATTGCTCCAGCATTTCTTTATATTCGTAATTGTCAACACCCAACACTGCTTTCAATGCGACCTGTAAAGATTTTAATGTTGCTGCGATATCTTTAAGTGCCTACGAAATCATAACCAATTAACATCATAATCGAACCAGTGGAAATGTTTCTGTGAATGATGCTTTATTCTTTTTTCGATTACCTTTATTCCTTGTGGTGTTTGCCGCCAGTTCCCAAGCGGAGTTATTGTTTCAAGGGTCTGTATTGATTCAAGGTTATTTGTGTTTGCCATAATTTTTGGAATTCGTGAGCGAATTTTGGGATTTATTCCGTTTGAAGTCAAATGTTTCTGTACTATTCGTATTAAGACGATAATCGTTATAAATATTATAATTTTAAGTATGGTGTTTGAAATATTTGCACATACCAGCATCACTTAGTTTTTTAGCGATTGGACCAGGATTATAAATCTCCACATCAAATTCCTGTTAACGTTAGTCCTAAAGTCAGTGATTTACTTTTGTGAAATGCGTGTCAATTTTAAGAATGCTATTTACCATCAATTCTATCCATCCGTCTGTTTTTGTAACTCTTCTGAAGTCATCTATTAACTGTATCCATTGTTTTTGTGTAAAAGCTGCCCATAAAAATCGCTGATATACGAAATCAAAAGTTTCACTGTTAAAAAAACAATATACACACATGGTTAACAAGTGATTTTTTGGTATTGAATTTTCGATTTTTAAATAATATGGTAAATTTACTTTGGAAATGGCAAACCGTTTAATATATTGTATTGAAGAAACCCAGCATTTGGAGGTCGCATATTGGTTGGAAACATTTCAATTATATCAACACCCAAGAATGTTGATACAGGATACTTGTTAGCCATGTCGAGAGTCCAAGTACCTGTTCCGCAACTATTCAATTGTGATCAATTAATAGTCTAAGAAATTAAAATAACAATAAAAGAGAGAGATTAATCGACTTACCCAGTATCAAGGACTCGTATCCCTCCTTTCTTTAACTTTTCATGTATCGGAGACGAGAAATTACCCTTCCATATTTCTTTCATTAAATCATGTTGCATTTGAAGACGATTTTTCTCTTGATCATCACATGGTATAAGATATCGTTCATTAGCCATTTGGAAAACACGCCCATCAATTACTCGAGAAGTTTGGAGCACTTCCACTAGCTTCTCGCGTTCGCTTTCCCCCCTGGTTATACTCGGTCTATCATTAAATGAACTTAGCGAGGATTTGTTTTCTCTTTTTGTTGGGAGTCTAGCTGTATTACTAAGTGAACTTTGTGAGGTCGATGATTTGCTTTTTTTGTGTCTAGAAATACGGTTACCCATCTTAATTGTTGTAGAAAAATGTCTCAAATATTCTTTTGATTCAAACGAATCACAATAAACGAAATTTTTATTCTTACGAAACTAAATTTTGTAAACTTGGATCACACCTTTTATCTTTTTAATATACATGTACAATATTTAATACGCGCGGTTATTGTGTTAAATTATGTAATGATCACAATATTGATATGTACATCGATGCAGCGGAGGAATTTCCTTTTTTTTTACGGTTTAATGAGTTGTGAAACATAAAAGTTACTCAATTATATTGAGGCTTAAATAGACTATACAAATTTGGAGAACAAGCCTAAAAAGCAACCACCTTTCCCAGATTAGGGAGATCAATATTTTCTCTTAAGAAATCTCCAATAGAGGATGTGCAAATCAGGAATGTGTTATTTATACGTATTAGTATAGAAAATTGACAAATGGTCCTTCGTGAGGTAATTATTGCCAAACGCAAATAAATAAGGACACGAAGAAATATTTATCGAGATTTAATTCCTCAATCTCCATGACTGGCTAACTAGGCATATCCTATCAAATACTTAGGGGAATATTACATGTATTTAGTTACATCATTATGCGCATATTGACGTAAAAGCTTATTTGCTCTGACATTGGCATTGTTTTGTCAAGTTCAGAGAGGCTGGTTTTTCTGTATTTCATAATTAGTTCGATTTTGCAGACTACGCGTGCATCATAAAAAGTTTGTCTACGATGAAGCGATTCTTTGTGCGTATATACGATGTTGTTTCCAAGATGTTTTGTATTCATTTACTCCTGCTTCGAAATTATTGAGTAAAGTCTCGTATTCTCCTACCGAGATACCCATAAGCGAGGCTAGTGGTACTTTTAATGCGCCAAGTCCGAGAAGTAGATCTTCACAAACCTACCAAAATAATACGTATTACGTTACGTTCAAGAAAAAAATTTTTTGATGGAAGAAAACAAAAAGATTATTGATTACCAATTGACCCAATCTTCCACCCCAGCTTCCAATTGGAATGTCTAATATATCGTGGTGGATATTGGTAAAACCACCATTATTTTTCAGATAATCTTCTAAATGTAAGCCAATATATACATCCATCCCTCTCAATTCCCAGAATTTAATAACTAAAATAATTGAGATGACGTATTACTATTATTGAAATGCGTGAATATGATAATATAATAATATAATAATATAATATTCAACACTTGCAAGAGGTCCATAGCCATTCAGCGTTTGGAGATGGCGACACAAATTTCGTATCACTTTCCAAGAATTCAACCCATCCTTTTGGTTTACAAATTCTCGCGAATTCTTTGAGAATGTTTCCTTGCCAATCTGCTATCGGAATTCCGCCACACAAGAAACGTTGGTGAATGAATGTGAAATGGCCGTCGTCGACTGGAATTCCTTCTAGAATATTGTGTTCGAGAAATTTCACATTTTTCGGTTTTATTTCTTCCGGAAAAACCGATGAAATATCAAGTCCTAGAAATTCTACATCTGGCCAATTCGTTGCCATATCTAAACACCAAACACCCGGTCCACAACTACATGTATATAAATTTAATAATTGTAAAAAATGACATCTTTATAATTTGTAAAATTGCACTTTCAAATTGGCATACCCCGAATCTAAAACAAAAGCTTTATGATTTTCTAAAGAATCACTGATGGGTGCACAGAAGTTTCCGTTCCAAGCAAAGCGTAGACAAAAATGTTGTTGCTGAAGTCGGTCGATTTCAACATCGTCATTCGGCTATTTAGGGATAAGAATTCTAAGTGATGACCTTTTACCAAATAATTTCTTTAAAGTTTAAAAAGTTTACCAAAGCGTATCGAGAATTTTGATTGTTATGGTAACGCCTGCCATCAACAAATCGAAACCTTTCTCGAGTAATTTCTCGAGAAATTTCTCTTTTGGCTTTAGACTTGCTAACGCAGGTGCCCATCTTGACTGGAACTTCTGACTTTATTCAGCAAAAAAAATAATGTATTAGTTCAATTTTTAAGCTAACTATCATTAGCATTTATTATTTATTGGGACAGATTAAAACGAAACCAGATTAAAATGAAATCAGATTATAATAAAATAAAATCAAAATAAAATTTTGCTCTTTTTTTATGGGATAAAACTTTTCAGAGAAGGGTTAGAGTTAGGTTGGAGCATAGCGATAGTATAGCATTAAAATCTAATAGATGACCTATGATTATTTAAACATCACACTCTGTTCTGTTGTTTTAATTTTAATCCGCCACATTTATTTATTGGGGCATTATTAAATTGTGTTTGCATTGGCGTTGCATTTAACATTTATTTTTTCAGTAGCAACCACGAAAGACAAGTTTCACGTTGCATATTTGTTAGCTTTAATACGTAGATTTGTCACATTATTGTTTCACTATGACGAAATCTCATTTATGTACTACGTACATGTATTTTTAATGTATATATGTTCTGTATTAGTGTTAGTATCAGTATTGTCGATTCTAATTATATACCGATACATGTACAATGCCAATGATTTTCGAATTTATATTTGTACACCAAAATACGTGCGTGACTTGTTTCAAAATTAATATTCAAATTCTCTCGATACTTATGCAGCGTTGTACGATAAATAGTTTTTATTATCGTTTATAACGGTAAATATAATTATAAATTTAGAATAGCTTATAAACTTTCACTCCCCGTTAAACTGGACGCTTGATAAACCGGATTTTTCACTAATGGAACGAACCGCTCCGGTTAACAGGAGTGAATATGTATGCATCGAGTCACAAATTGTCTACGATCAATAATTATAGACTTGGCCATCCTTAAAGTCAAATCGATTGTATTTGTCAAGTAGGAAAATACATTTTTATCGCCAAGAAATACAGATTATTCCTTACTGGCTGATAAGGGATGCATTAACAACAACTCGCATAACATTACTGGTAGTATGCATTTTAGGTAGAGATGTTAACTACGTAGTCCTAAATGGTCCCATGCAAATTGCTAGTTTTAGAGATAATTTTTTTCATACAAATTATTAAGTAAACTTGTTTATAACAATATTTTAATATGACTTGCTTATTGAAAATAAGTGATAAAATGTCTTGAGAAATCAGAATTCTTTAAAATGTAGGATTTGTAATGGATTGGAATGATCCCAGGACTGAAGCAGTCACAGGAAAATTGCTGATTTTGGAGATAATTTATTTATAGACTTAATAAAATTTATTGATAACAATATTTTAAGGAGGGTTACTTATTGTAATTAGGACAATTTGGTTTGTCTAGAATTAGTAATTTTCAAAATTATTGGGACCGTTTTGGGACTGGTTAACATCCCTAATTTTAGGCATGGGAACATATTCATCGCGAAGGTTATTAATACCTCTACTTTTATACGCTACTCAGAATTCATGACCAACTGGTCATGTCCAAGCACACGAATCGGAGGTAAACGCGGCACCGCTCCATAGACTGAAACATGGACGTCCCATTGCCCACTACGACCCCGGAAGATAGCCCCGGCTAACGCTCCGTCATAAACATGGGATCGTTGACTCAGCATCATACCCTATGACATTTCATAACGGTTTCCTTGTGAGAGTTTAGATAGAAGAAACCGCGATGGATATTATTAATGTCGCGATTCACAGGTGATGTATAACCAATGTTTATCGTTATACATGTTTATAACGATAAATAGTAACACTGTTATCGTTACATGTTGCACCTCTAATAGAAATTTAAACCATTCAATGCATGTATTATCGTTATTATGTGATTCCCATATTAAACATAACTTAAAATTTTTGGTTTTCATAACACATGGCTATGTAAATGACCCGGTAACTTCGGGACGCGATCCAATGATGAAGCGATCTAACCATTATTCAATTTGTCTAGCGCTGTTAACCAAATCTAATAGTAGTCAGATCGCCGGACTAAAAATAATCGAATTTTTATACTTGTTTGCTTTTTACAATACAATATTAGAATGCGCCTCAAATTTAAATTTCATAAACTGGACTGGTTTGATGACCCAGCCGGGTTATGAAAACCAAAAAATTTGTTTGTATGGCCTAATTTAGTAATTTTATAGATTTATTAATCAAATATTATGGTGCATAACATCTAAAGTCATCAAACGTTTATATTTTATAAATGTATAAACTTCTCAACTAAGAAGCAAACACAAAATTTTAATTCGTGAATATGATATAATAGGTCTATTCTATATCTATTCATAATCGAGAGAATTTTTTCGATATTTTTATAGTCTCAATTTCGTTTGTTCATGAAAACATCAAATTTTTGTAACGTTAAAAAAATGAACCAATAAGATTTTGAATTTACATAGAATTTTTCTGATTGGTCATATTAAAAGAATTACATGTACAGTGGGCGCTGGATATAATAACATGATCGGGGAAGAGATTTTTGTTAATATATCGAGATGTTACTCTATCGAAAAAATAAATACCAATACAATGAAAGCTTATCGTTACGTATTACGTACAGTAATGTTATTACATGCACATGTATAACGAGATGTTATGTATGACGTACATGTATAATGCTTGGCATGCATGTTATATACATGTACATGTATTTTTCTATTGTAGAGGTTCTACTAGAATATTGACAACCACAAAAAAATTAAACATGTCCTTACACGTTTTGAGCGCCATTTCCAACCATCCATCGCATTTTCTGCTTATAATTCCCTAACAGGCATGACTTCCATATGCAACCGTTCTTGAACCCTGTAATTCCATTAAGAAGCTTGCTTGCTATAGGCGATCTGTTTGTTAATATAACTCTTCCAGCGGAGTCGTCGCCATTTTCTCGTTCCATGAAAGTCAAGAAGAGTATTGAGATGTATAAAAATGTAATGAGTGTAATTCTGATATGATCGAATTGATAAATTCTATCAAATAATTTTCTGCATACAGTTAAAGTGTTCTATAACGAATTTTTATATAGCGAATATTTTAGTATAGCGAAGAGATTTCGCGGTACAGATATATATTACACATAAAATCAGCCTTCTGATATCCGAATATTTGATACTGTATGCCGAAGGCATTGGATTGGCCCATGCACTTCGTTATAGAGAACTTTGACTGTACCACGAACTTCATCGTTTTTTTCTACATATTGCACACCATTGCAATATTTAGATGCATCACACCCAAGCATTAGTATAATGTCACCGAAGAGAAAACAGAATGAGTACCATAATGACCGTGTAGTGATGCACAATTATAACGATACGAAATTGTACGATAAAATGTAAAGCGTTATTTTTTTTAAAAGGAAGCGAAGAAATCTATGCACGATCATGAAATTGTAAAGGAAGTATTGATACAGAAGTTAGTTTATTACAGATCAATCAAAATTATAATAAATAATTGTTTCTTGCTTATTTTTTGGAAATGCATTAAATTGTGTGTTCTAATAAACTTGAAAGGTGATAAAATGATATTGCTCTATAATATTATATGATGCGGAATCATTAACAATCGCACTCTTAAATTAGATTCAGCACGTTGCGTTTAATCGGCGAGGGACCGAAGAAATTACTGAAGAAAAAGTATTCACGAACAGATCTTAATTAATCGTTTCGTTACGTACAAACTTACAAGAATAACATCGTAAAAGACGCCAATGAGACTTTAAGGATTTCCTACCCGGATCTGGCATAACGGACAAGTAGCGAAATTTGTCGAATGGATGAGAGAATAATAGATTACCGTCTCAAGTTCGTCACGAAAAAGTATGAAATCTCGAAATTTTTTATCGTTACGTCAAGTGTTTTTATTAAAATAATCAATAGCAATGGCATTTAGTATTAATTGGTGGGATTGTTTCATATTTTCTCGAAGAAACCACGTAATATAGATACATAAAATCAATTTCTCGGTTTATGTTTTTATTTTCAGCCCATATGCGACAAGTCGGAATTAACATTTTGTATTCGTTTAATTCGGAGTAGCTGAACGCGTTATATAATCGTATTCTTCATGGATTATTTTCAGAAATGGAAAAGGGTGATTTTTCTACTTTAAATGTTGGTTTTATTACTTGTTCTCCCTAAAGAACAACTCATTAGGATTCTTCTGCAGTAACAAAGACTAATAAAATTTCAAATAATTAACAAATCTCCGAACTTACCTCCCAATTTCCCCCAATAGGAAGCGATTTATTTTTATTTGTTTGAGCGAGATAAGTTGACAAATATGGTTATTTATTAGTGCCTGAATTAAGTTACTTTTATTTCAAGTCAATCAAGACATGGAAATAAATTTACTTTTGAAAAATAGCATGAAAAACTGTTATACAAATATTTTTAATAATAATAATTACAGTGCATCCAAAATCTATCGTTCCATAAAACCAGGTCGTCCATCTCAAAAAAACATGATTATTTGGTGGCAAAATTGCCGAGCACATCAAGTATATTAATGCTAGGGCTCTGAAATTTACCGAACCGATCGGTAATTTACCGAACCGTTATTTTACCGAGATTTTCGGTAACGGTTCGGTAATTACCGACATCTTCTAATTACCGATCTGTAATTACCGATGGTAATTCGGTAAACTTCGATAATTATGATATTAACACGTTATTACATGTATAAATATAATTCGTGAGATTTGAACGTAAAATCGACCATAATGTCAATTTTTAACACACTAACTGCTATTAATTAAAAATATTGTTTGGGTTCTATTCTACGTATAGGTAAAGTTTCATAAATTTTGCACATTGCTTCACGAGATATTATCCGAAACGCAAATAAATCGTTTAAATGCGTTGTAGCATTTATTTATGTTTCGCATAATATCTCGTGAAGCAATATGCAAAATTTTTTATATTTTTAATTATTAGCATCTAGCGTGTTAAAACTTGACATTATGGTCGATTTTACTTCAATTTCACGAATAATATTTTGGCAAATTCAAAAATCTTTCAAACGTTAATCAGTGTATTGATTCATTGATCAACATTTCGGTAAACCGTCGGTAATTACCGAAATTTACCGAATCATTCGGAGCCCTAATTAATGCTAGTTTAGTACTGTTACAATACGTCCGTAGTAACATAATTTTCTTAATTTATGAATGGATTTTGTAATTTGTCGCCATGGCGATATATCGCCAGTTCCGAAAAATCACGTGATATATATAAGTATATAATATATATAAATTATATAAGCAATTAAAGTATGTATATAATAAATACTGATTTATAT